AAAAACTATCTACAGCTGAATGAAAAAGGACACCCACTCACCTTTGAAATGCAAGAAGAGCCTTCCTCTGTAGGACCTCTTGCATCCCTCGCAAGGAAGCTAAAAACAGAGTTTTAATTAGTGATATTTGAGCAAAGACCACAAAGTTAACATGAAAACCTTAGGGGGGGGTGTACAAGAAATCACACACAAAACTCATCGTGTTTCTAGATGCTGCATGTTACTGACGCTTTACCCTCCAAAAAGGAAGCTGTGTGATTTACGTACCATCTGTAGCTTGTAGGCTGTAAGTCAATCCCAAGGCTAAGTAACCTTTGGCTTTGAACTCTGATGTTTTGTCCCCCACATCGACCACCATCCTGGCAAATCTTTCTGCTTCTTCTAACTAAAAGCAAAAGAAACAGAGGGATGAAAAAAACAGCAATAGCAGACACTTCCTCCTCCCCAAATCTCATGTGGAAGGTGTCAGATTAATTTCATGGACAACTGAAGAAACCCAAATCAAAGCCATTCTGAACTGACCAAGCCATCAAAGCCCACTGTCAGTAGCAAGTTTAGCCTTCCCAATACTGCCTGCTGTTGCTAGTACTACCCACTCCCCCCTTCCCATCCTCCAAACTTGTCAAAGGGCCAGGGAATATCAAGGGAACATTGTGGTAGAGGGAAGTGGCCACAGTGCAGGGATCCTAGGAAGCACGGGAACTACAATTCCCATGATCCCTAGGGTGCCTATACAGTGCTTGCAAAGAGAGGTCTTATATGACCTGCAAACTCTTCCCCACAGACTTTAACTTTTTATGAGTCTGTGTAAGGGCAGCCACCAAGAGAGTTCAGGAAGGCGGGGTGAAGAACAGGATGGTTAGAGCTAAACTGAATCCATTTAGTTTAGGCCTAGCCTGTGGAGATTCATAACTGACTCCACCGATAGACCCTGGAAAAGGGATATGCAGCAGAAAAGAGACAGGTGTGATTCCCATGCACAGCAACCTGCATGCTACTCCTTTTCAGACTTCACCCCTGTGAAACACACAAACTGATCTGGTCAGTACTTGATGGGCTACCTCCTGAGAATCTTGCGGTCACCACTTGAGCTCTTTGAAGCAGGGACATCAATGTATTCAAGTGTCCTTTCAAACCAAAAAGTCAGGAATCCATAGCAGCACTATGAGAACTCAGGACTGAAAATGACGAAATGGCCATTAAGTCCAACCACTCACATGCAACAATTGCACATGGGTGTGTCCCCCCCCCCCATTCTGTGCATGTGCTGCAAACCCCAGAACAGAATATGAAAGCAGGGGGGGGGGGAGCAGACTCAAGAAAGTGTCCTCTTTTAAGAGCGTATTCCTTTCAATCTAACACATTCCTGGAAATTCAACATTTTTGAACTGCACAAGTAATCACTCAATACAAATAATGTTGACTTGCAAAACAGGGTGCATCTTTAAAACACTCTTTTTCCCCCCTTGACTCAGACAGAGAGCTTACAGAAAAACCTACCCAATGAAGGGATCCCATGCATAATTTGGCTGCTAGGAGCGGAATCGTGGCATCGTCTGGTTTCAAACGTATACACTCTTCTTTCAAGACTTTCACAGCCCGAGCAGACTGCACGAAAAAACATGACTCAGTATAAGACAATGTGGTAAGACATGTGCACTATCGAGCCCTTGAGAAATGATCACCATATTTTAAAACGTGTCATAAGTTTGATTCCAGCATCAACAGCTACACATCTGATATCAGTTTTTAAGGTAATGCAAGAAATTGCAAGTAGATAAATAGGTACCGCTTCGGTGGGAAGGTAACAGCATTCCGTGTGCCTCGGCGTTTAGTCATGCCGGCCACATGACCACGGAGAAGTCTTCGGACAGCGCTGGCTCTTCAGCTTGGAAACACAGCTGAACACCGCCCCCTAGAGTCGGATTCGACTGGCTTTCGAGCAAGGGAAACCTTTACCTAATATCTTCTGCACCCTGCCCTGGATGGCCCAGGCTTGCCCAGTCTCAGAAGCTAAGCAGGAAGTCCACGGCTGGTACAAAGAGGCAGGCAATGGCAAACCACCTCTGTTCACATCTTATGGCGACCCTGCAGGGTTTTTAAGGCAGGTCAGCTGTGACTTGACAGCACTTTCGACCACCATTACCTGCTGCAAATTGTGAAACCCGAGCACCTTAGCAAATGGGTAAGGACTATTTACAAAGCCACAGAACTGTCCTCAAGAGACAAATGAAGAGCAGTAAAAAAGAAGTATAGAATGCAACTGCAGTTTAAAATATTACACCATATAAACAAAATGCAGAACAGATTAGCGCCACTCCCTTGACGAAGACTCCGTTTTCCCAACTTAACATTTGCTATCTGTGTATCTTTCCTTCTGGTAGCTTCAAAGTTGCTCTCTGTCAGGCAAAGATGACAAACTGAGGCACCAATAAAGACTACTCTGTCAGTCTTTCCGCCATGAAAAGAGAGAGAGAGAGAGACTGTGCACTGACATGATGGTCTGTTGGATAAAATTTTGAATAGACTGGGCTCATTAGGCTTGCCAGACCTCCTGCTGTCCCCACCACCAGTCAATGGGGCACTGGGGGGGGGGAAATGGGGGAGAGTCATTGTGCCATCGTCCCTTCCAGTGAAAACCTGGAAGTGATGTCACTCCATTTGCAGAGAATTTGGGCAGAGCATCATGCCAATACAGTGATGTCACTTCCAGGTTTTGCTGGAAATGATGTTGCACCATCAGCATTTTGTCATTCCCACCCCTTCCTCCTCTTGCTGGTTGCCAGCCAATGGGTGGCAACCTTTGCTCAACTACATTTCAGGAGGGTGTAACTACTTACGTGTTACTCTGCCTCCATGTTTATTTTAAAACTACAAGTTTTCTTTAGCAAATGGAGCCTTTGGGATTGTTTGATCAAGGAAAAAAAATTTTTTTTGAAGAAGGGAAATGAATTCTTTCCTCCCCAGCAATTTTCTTACTGGGAAAAGTCACCACTGAGCTGCTGCTGCTTGCACTGAGGGAAGCTCACAGGTACCTGCATTTTTCCATGGCAGTGGGAGAATCACAGAGTGGGAAGGGACCACAGAAGTTTTTCCTGGATATTAGGAAAAACTTTTTAGAGTAAGAGTTGTGTGCAACAGTGGAATCAGCTGCCTAAGGTGGTGGTGAGCTCCCCCTCACTGGCAGTCTTTAAGCAGCGGCCGGACAAACACTTGTCAGGGATGCTCTAGGCTGATCCCCCATTGAGCAGGGGGTTGGACTAGATGGCCTGTATGGCCCCTCCCAACTCTGTGATTCCAAGAAGCCACCTAGTCCAACCTCCTGCTCAATGCAGGATCAGCTTTAAGCATCCCTGACAAGTGTAAAGGATAACAAGGGTGAAATCAGGTCAGGGGTTGTTTTTTCCCAGAAGGCATCAGAAGAAATAGTTAAAATGTCTATCTCCTTCTCTCCTCCTTGATCAAACCATTCCAGAGGCTTCATAAGCTCAAGGAAGCAACCTTGTTTAAAAACAGACACAGAAAGGAATGTGCAGCTGAGCTCAGAGGCAGGATAAAAATGCAACTCAGCCAGGAATTCACTTTAGCAAGACACTGCCAAAGTATTTCTATGCCACGCTTTATTTTAAAATGAATAAATATGATTAACAATTATTCCATAGAATTTCTAAGGTGCTTAGCCTAGTTTTGAACAGACTGAAATTGTACACAGCTTTGCACAAACATGGAGGTGACGGTGCTGATGGAAGACAGCGATATTTGGAAGATAAACAAAGTATTTGGAAGATAAACTGTCCATCCTGCACACAGTTACAGAAACCTGAATTCCACTGACTCAACATGTACAGTGTTGTAGCCTACAAAATCACTGTCATCAGCATTCAACAAAACAAAATCTGCAATGAAACCTACTTTTCCTGCTGCCATTAAGGATAGTGCAAACTGATACCAAAGATGGAATTCTTCAAAGGCAAACTTCATGGCTCTTTCTAAGCACTAAAATAAAATCACAAACACATTAGTTTTCAAAAGACACGAACAGAGTAACTGTTTTAAAGGCTATTGCAGAAATGAATGACTAATCAAACCACAATGCCCTAAGCCAGGGGGAACACAACTCAAATAGCTCCGAGAGTCCCTTTTACTGTTTCACTAATCACGAGGAAAGTGTTGCCAAGAAAGCATTGTTGCTGCATTTTAACTCATTCTGTTTTAACCCAGTTTTTCACCTTAGGGCACAACCCACCCACCCACATCATTTGCAGGCCTCTTTAAATACATCTCAGGTAGCCATAGCTCCTTTGTCCTTTCCAGTCCACAGTATTTGCATGCAGCTCTGTCTCCGCACCTCAAAGTGTGCATTCTCTTCTTGGCCTCCGCAGGTCTACACTATACTCCAAGGAGCACAGACAAAGGCGGGGGAAGGGACAGACTGAGGAAAACTAGGGAGCACAGATCCACAGCTGCCTGCGGTGGTGCGGAACAGTTTATGGGGTACTGAGTGAAAAATGTACCACCTCAGATCTCTTTATCTGATTATTATTTTTAAACCGCCATTACAGTTTTCCTACTTCATGCCACTCTGTACCCCTTCTCTGCTTCCCTCATTTTCTGTTTTACCACCTAGAGCCGCATGTAGCCATTAGCTCCCTAGATCCTAGCTATCCCCTAGCCAGTTTGGTGTGAGAGCCAGTTTGGTGTAGTGGTTAAGTGTGCGGACTCTAATCTGGGAGAACCGGGTTTGATTCCCCACTTCTCCACTTGCACCTGCTGATGTGACCTTGGGTCAGTCACAAGCTCTGGCACAGCTGTCCTTGAAAAAGAGCAGTTTGTGTCAGAGTTCTCTCAGCCCCACCCACCTCACAGGGTGTCTGTTGTGGGGAGGGGAAGGGAAAGGAGTTTGCAAGCCGCTCTGAGACTCCAAGTCTCAGGGCAGGGTATAAATCCAAGGGCAGGGTATAAATCCAATCTCTTCTTCTTCTTCTTCCAAACCTGCCATCAGAGGCTAGTAACCAGGCTGCTGCCTTCCCGTCCAGGCTGGCTCAGACACAGGCACTGCTGTGGTGTTTGGGTGACCCTAAGCCTGAGCCCACCCTACTTGCCACAAATGCCATTCTGTTGGTGAAGAGCACAGCAAGAGGAACAGGCGCTGAGCTCAGGCAGGCTCATCTGATCACCTCAACTGTTCTTCCACCTACCCGCCGGTCCATCCCATTCGACTGGCCAGCATCAGCCACTCCATCCGCCCACTTGTTTGATGCTATGACACACTTCTTGCGACTGACTCTTGTAAGAATAGGAGTGTCTGGATCTTCTTGTTGCGTGCGTGTGCCTCAGTGTTTTCCCCCCTCATATGTAGAATTATATTGCCCCATACAAAAATGTGGAATTGACTCTGCCTTCTCCTCCAGAGCACTCCCCTTTCTTTGAACCCCCACAGGTCTCTCTGTATCTCACCTCTGTTTCCTTCCTTTGGTCATTTTTTATCTCCCACCTTTATTTCTACTTCCCCTAAGCAAGTTCAGCACTAATTCTAGAGCAGGAATTCTCCAACGTGGTGCCCGTGGGAGCCATGGCACCCACCCACACCTTTCTTAGCGCCCACCAAGTATCGTTAGAAAGACAGGTGGGGCTCCTGCCCAGCAGCACTTCCCACTGGCCACTGACTGGCTGTACAGGTGAAAATAATTGTGTTTTGGTAGCAGCTGCCCCTTGGTTTTATTGTCTCTCTCGCTCCTCCTTTCCAATGTATTTTTAAAAAATTACTCCTTAGGCTTCCTATGTGTGCTAGTGTTCCCACCTCCGACAGTGGCCATTTTGTGGTGGCACCCCACACCCTGTGTCAGAATTCCAAAGGTGTTCATAGACTCAAAAAGGCTGGGGGACCCATGAGCTAGAGGAAAGAGGGCCAAGGCAGATATAGTGAGGCAGCCATTCTGTTCTCCAAAGCTTTAGATGTTCCTCCAGAAATGTGGGGGACCCCCCCCCCAACAACTGGTCTTTAGAATTCTCCCCAGCGGACAGCAACCATATAGGAGAGCTCAGTCAGCACACAAGGCTTATATTGTGCCTTGATATAAGGCAACCATGATATTGTGATGAAAACTGAAATACTTGAAACATAAAGTTTTTAAACTTGCCAACAGAAGGAAACAAATGGTGAACAAAGGTTACGCCAATATTATTTGTTTAATTTCATGACAGTGGTGTGCTGTATTAAGGAATAAAACTGACATAACATCCACATGACCTTTACTCTCCAATTTGTTTCAGCCTAAGGTGTTGTAAATCCTTCTGATTAGGAGACCTCTTTCTCCACGAATGTATGTTATTGTCTGTGGTGTAGTGGATATAATGCTGGATTAGGACTGGGAGACTTGGGTTCCAATTCCCATTTTGCCATGAAGTTCACTGACTGACTTTGGGCCTGTCACTCTCTCAGCCTAGCCTACCTCTGAGTTGTTCTGAGGATGAAATGAAGGAGGGCAGAACCAAGTGTGCCACCCAGAGATCCTTGAAGTAAGGTTGGGATAAAAATATGATTGATATTCAGAAAATCTTTACTCCCATAAAATATTTCAAACTAACCATGTCAAAGAGCTGCTTCTGCAAAACAGAGCTGTCTTGCATTTCACCTGAACTTTCCTGTCTATGCTTTCTACCTTCTCCTTCATTTTTCATCTTCTTTGGGTGGTTGTTATAAATTATGAGCAATTTAGCTTTCCTTTATTAAGACATATAAATATGCACTCTAGAATTATATGCTTTCTACCTTCTCCTTCATTTTTCATCTTCTTTGGGTGGTTGTTATAAATTATGAGCAATTTAGCTTTCCTTTATTAAGAAATATAAATATGCACTCTTACACATTCCAAGTAAGCCCATGCATAGTCCTGTGGGTTGGAGGGACATTGCAGAGACCCATTCTCTTCCTTGTTCTCAACTCCTAGCATGTTCCATAAGCCTTTTGATAACAGACCCTTCAATGCTGAGATTGATAAGAGAGTACAAAAGGGGGGGGAAATCCTACAAGTGCACTGCTCCTGCAATCTTTGATCTGCACCATAGCATGTTCCATAAGCCTTTTGATAACAGGCCCTTCAATGCTGAGATTTATAAGAGAGTACAAAAAAGGGGGGGGGGATCCTACAAGTGCACTGCTCCTGCAGTCTTTGATCTGCACCCGCTCAAAAGCTTTATCAATCAAGACAACGAAATCAATAGCACACCTATCTAGAGGGCAAAGCATAAGCCAAGTCTCCCCACTTCTATAAAAAAGTGTCAGGTGAAGCAAGTGTCAGTGACGGTTTAACAAGACAGCTCCAAAGCAGGTTTGAGGTCAGAACTATGACCCTTCAAAGCAATGTCATATGCAATAAGATCAACATGGGGGAAAGTGAGAAATAGGGTCACCTCTCAGAAATACTCCTATAGAAAAGGAAAGACGTTACTCTATATATCATAATAGCTGGCTGAGCATTCAGTGATCCCGATTAACTTCGCTTAACAATTTCATGCATTATTGCGAAATCTATTAACGAAATTTATATCGTTTCCCAGTGCATGAACACACCAATCCAAGATCTGAATCTTGTTGTTATACTTGATTGTTTATCTTACTTTTTAAAACTGTGAACGTTACACTGCATCCATACATCACAATATTCATTCTTATACATATCTTGGTAACATTCAGGTTGGATTACTGTAACATGCTTTTTGCAGGGTGAGCCTCTGAAGGCAGTTTAGAAATTCTATCCGGTGCTCAGTTAGCAACTAAGAGGTTAACTGGAACTTGCCATGATGAGCCCTTCCCTCCAAGTTGTATCACCTGCAGTGGTTATCAGTTGGTTTCTGGGCCCAATTTGAAGCTGTGCAACCATTCTTGAAGGACCAGTTTTGCCCATATGAACCTGTCTATAATTTGAGAGGCCAGCACTCATTGAAGTAAAACTGGTACACACGTGAGGCAGGGCTTTCTCTGCGGTAGTCCCCAGGCTCTGGAATGGCTTGCCTCAAAAGCACACCTGGCTTCTTCACTGCTGGCCATCCAGAGAGCAGTAAAACCTGTGGGCTTCTCAAAGGCTTATAATGAAACTCAAATCTTATCTTCCTGAGAATGGAGCTCTATTTGTTGATGGTCTTGGTTTTAATCTTCATTACCTGTTTTACACTGGCCAAGGAGTTGGTTTTACTACTGTAGAATTGTTTGAGACTTCTTAAAAATACAATTTTGGGATCTTTTTTTATTGCTGTTTAATTTTAATCCTTATGGATGTTAATTCTGGCTGCTTTGTTAGAATTTTGTCTGTGTTTTGTTTGTTAAGTATATAAAACTTATAAGCCACCCTCAGTTGTCCTTGTGACGGAAGGGCAGGAAATGAATTTCTTAAATAAAGGTATCAGTAAAATCACATAGACGTATGCTACTTGTTGTTGTTCAGCCACAAAGTTGAGTCCGACTCTTCATGAACCCATGGACCACATCACGCCAAGCCCTCCTGTCTTCTGTCATCCTCTGGAGTTTGCTCCAAAGTTTGCTCAAGTTCTTGTGCAAATTCTCAAGTAAATGTTAGTGAAAAGCTGAGAGATTTACAGTAACGTATCTTACTATCAGAATTCAAAAAATAATAAAGGAAATGAAAATAGTAATGAAATTAATGAGGAGCAGGTTAGAAAAAAGGAGGAGTTTAACAGCTGCATAAGAAAGGAGTACTGTATCTAGTTTTTGAGAGGAAAAATAGCAATAAAATGCACAAAAATATCATTTTAATTCTATTTGGTGATATCATGGAATTAACATTCAGGTTGGATTACTGTAACATGCTTTTTGCAGGGTGAGCTTTTGAAGGCAGTTTAGAAATTCTATCCGGTGCTCAGTTAGCAACTAAGAGGTTAACTGGAACTTGCCATGATGAGCCCTTCCCTCCAAGTTGTATCACCTGCAGTGGTTATCAGTTGGTTTCTGGGCCCAATTTGAAGCTGTGCAACCATTCTTGAAGGACCAGTTTTGCCCATATGAACCTGTCTATAATTTGAGAGGCCAGCACTCATTGAAGTAAAACTGGTACACACGTGAGGCAGGGCTTTCTCTGCGGTAGTCCCCAGGCTCTGTGGACCTCTGTGTTGACCAAGCACCATGTCTTCCAACACACAGGTTTTCAGACTGAAATACTGCATGTGCATTATTTATCCTTCTACACTGGCCAAGGAGTTGGTTTTACTACTGTAGAATTGTTTGAGACTTCTTAAAAATACAATTTTGGGATCTTTTTTTATTGCTGTTTAATTTTAATCCTTATGGATGTTAATTCTGGCTGCTTTGTTAGAATTTTGTCTGTGTTTTGTTTGTTAAGTATATAAAACTTATAAGCCACCCTCAGTTGTCCTTGTGACGGAAGGGCAGGAAATGAATTTCTTAAATAAAGGTATCAGTAAAATCACATAGACGTATGCTACTTGTTGTTGTTCAGCCACAAAGTTGAGTCCGACTCTTCATGAACCCATGGACCACATCACGCCAAGCCCTCCTGTCTTCTGTCATCCTCTGGAGTTTGCTCCAAAGTTTGCTCAAGTTCTTGTGCAAATTCTCAAGTAAATGTTAGTGAAAAGCTGAGAGATTTACAGTAACGTATCTTACTATCAGAATTCAAAAAATAATAAAGGAAATGAAAATAGTAATGAAATTAATGAGGAGCAGGTTAGAAAAAAGGAGGAGTTTAACAGCTGCATAAGAAAGGAGTATTGTATCTAGTTTTTGAGAGGAAAAATAGCAATAAAATGCACAAAAATATCATTTTAATTCTATTTGGTGATATCATGGAATTGGACCATTTGATGCACCAAAAAATTAAAGTTCAACAAACTCTTAAGAAAGGTTTAGAGTTACTTGGTAGAAACCAGCACCTGCCAAAATAATAGGACTCTGTTGTTTCAAACACTGTGAATTCTGTCATTCTATAGAGTGGCACAAGATTACCAGCTACACAGAACCTACTGAATTACAAGAACACAATGAAAAACATTCAAGTTGCTTTTCTGTATCACAGCAGTGATTATTTCTCACCTAGGCTTTGAATCACTATGGTGATGTTCATAAAATAAAAGGTCAGATATACGATGACTCATTGTAGCAGTGAAGCACAGAAAGCCTACTAAAGTAACATGGTTAATAAGCAGTTACACCCTTTGAAGCCCACTGGCTTCAATGGACTTAGAAGGTGTAACTCTGGTTATGGCTGCATGGAAAATCTCTCAGCTTTTCACTAACATTTACTTGCACAAGTTGTGGACCTCTGTGTTGACCAAGCACCATGTTGTCTTCCAACACACAGGTTTTCAGACTCAAATACTGCATGTGCATTATTTATCCTTCAGTGCCCCCTCCCTGTTCATTATGACATCTCCCTTTAAAACCTAAGTAAAATCATTTGCATATCCAGCATAGTAATTTGGTACTCAACAAATACTAATTTCACACAGATAACAGAGTTGCGTGCAAGTGAATCAAACTGTTTAATCAGTGGCAATGCTACATATAAGCCATATATTAGCAAAAGGTATTTAGACTCTTAACTGCAAGAACTATAAGCTGTTCTCTACTCTTGGCATGCCTGTTATGCAGTAACCATTACTTGTGAAACTATTTGTAGGAAGCCATAGACAAAATTCCTATTATGCCCATGAAAATAAGTTAATGCTCAAGTTCAGTGTTACCTAGATTGTTCCATGCAATACTGAATCGATGAATTCTCTATATCATTACATCACCTGCTAAGGATTGTCACCTAGGTGAGTTCTGATCCTTGGTTAGTTTTCCAGGCCTACCTCTGACAACATTTCATATTGACCTCTTCTTCCCAGGGCAATGGTAAGCAAATCGTAGACTACAGATGCACTCTGCAAACTGATGATGCGATCGTTTCTATGTTCTGGTATCCTGCTCAATACAGCATCGCGATTAGCCTGGGAAAAAATACCAAAAATAAGGATAAATTTTATTTATTTATTTATTTAGGCTTTTACCCCGCCCTCCCACTGAAGCGGCTCAGGGCGACTTACAACAATTTAAAACAACATACTATATAAAACCAGCAAATACAGATATAAAATACAATAAATACAATAAAACTAAATAAGTATGGCAGCGTCCTGTGGTAAAGAGCTAGTGTGACCCAGCTGGTGCAGTCAGTTCTTATTTAAACATGGAAGGAGTTTGAGAATTTCCAAAGTAGACAGAGGTTGCAAAATCCAGGGATGGAAGCCATGTGATACAGTTTATTAGGACCAATAAAAAATAATACCAATTAGTGTGCAAGTGTCTGAGTTCTCCAGAACTCTTCAATAGGACGGATGTTTAAAGAGGAGGAAGGGGAAAAGGTGTTTCAGGGCCTGATGTTAAGGGCTTATTGCCAGAACACTGTGTAGAATGCCAAGCAGATTTGAATAGAATGGAGATGGGTGGAGTCAGTTATCAGGTTACATCTTTGGCCTGCTGGGGAAGATGAAGGGTATTCCCTAAAAGGTATTCCATGGCTTTTGTATAAAGATAAAAGGATCAATACACAAAAAAATCCCATGCTTTGTGGTCTCAGGGAATGGCACTGCTTTTCTTAAGAGCTGCTGCCATCTCAAAATGAATCACCCTAGATGTCAAAAACAGGAGATTAATACGAATGACAACTGTAAACAAATGGAAGACTGCTGAATAGCCTTTCTCCACGAGAAGAACAGCAGCACACATGCTGTCTCTTATCTTTTTGCAGGTTTAGATATACATTAGTTAGGAGTTTACTTTTATCTCCAATTCAGAGAGAAGAATATCACCCCGTTTAGAATCCCACAGACGTTCACTCTCCTATATCTATTTAGGGCTCTGAAAACACCTAATGATTTGCATAAACAAAACCAGGGTAATCAGACACTGTTGGAGGGCAGGATGGGAGTGATGAATTTTCACAATGGCACTCTACTTTTCATGAGCTTAGCTACCCACATCCACCCTTGAAAGCACATCATCGCAGATTAAGGATACAATTTATTTGCATCAGCACTCCCTTCCTATACTGGATATTGAGACAATTAACACACATTCATATATCTGCAGACACTATAGGAAATATAAACAGCAATATTTATTCTTTCGAATGTGCTAAGCATGCTACAATACATGTCCATTAGCCATCTGAAGCTAAGGGTAGAGGTAAGCAACTTATTTTAATTCTTTTGTGTCATATTGAAGGCAGTGGCCCTCGACGAGACCTGATAATGAGCCAATCTAGGCATGGCAAAGAGAAACAAGCAGCACAGTGGGGGCAAGTTAGGTAGCATATTGGTTGCATGGACCTACCCCTTCCTTCCAACTTAGCAGTCCGAAAGCAAGAAATTGCAATTAGATAAATAGGTACCACTTCGGTGGGAAGGTAACAGCATTCCGTGCGCCTTGGTGTTTAGTCATGCCGGCCACATGACTATGGAAACGTCTTCGGACAGCGCTGGCTCTTCGGCTTTGAAACGGAGATGAGCACCGCAACCCTAGAGTCGACTTAGAAGAACATGAAAGGGTAGGCTTTTATTAAAACACAGTTTCTATGGATGGCTTACAGGGGTCGTTTCGTAGAAAAAGAGCTAGAGGAGTTCATTAGCATAACTCATTAGCGTATGCCACACCCCCTGACATCACCGGAAGTGTGTCATAAGGCCACACCCCCTGACATCACCGGAAGTGTGTCATAAGGCCACACACCCCACCCCCAACGGTCCCGGCCGCCACCGCCGGCCTTGCAGCTCCACTGTCGAGCCCCATGAGGGGCCCGGCAGTGGACCTGCAAGGCCGGTGGGAGTGCAAGGAAGCCCCGCGAAGGCCCTCCCTGGCCCCAGTCAGGCAGGGGTGGGGAGAGGCAGGGAGGAAGCAACTTACCTTCCCTCTTCTCCTGCCTCCTCCTGGCTGAATGAGGGCCGGAAGCGGGGCAGCCGGAAGCAGGGGGCGGGGCTTCGTCATGTGCCCCGCCCCCGTACCTCACCCGGGGGAACTGCGATCCCCCACGATCCCCCCGAAATGACCTCTGCCGTTAAGTATTAACCTGATACATTAAGCAGTGCTAAAAATTACATACTAGGGTCCTGCTTGCAGGAACCTATACACAGGGGTATTGACCACAGTCCCTAATTATTTATCCAAGTAACTTTGTGAACCGTTTGTACCGCACAATCCTAATACTAAGGGACACCAAGAAGGCCCAGGGTTGATACACAGAGGCAGACAATGGTAAATCACCTCTGTTCATCTCTTGCCTTGAGAACCCTACAGAGTTCATCATAAGTCGACTGCGACTTGATGCCATTTTACACTTACACACACACAAGGGGTCAAACTATCTATTACTTGGGGTTACAATTTGCCAGGTGGGGGCGGGGATCCCCCACTTTTACAGGCTCCTGCCCGATGGCAGGCAGCTGGCCAGTGGGAGGAAATCCCCGTCACCCCCCAAACAGCAACATCATGCACGACATGCTGACGTCACCTGAAAGTTGTGTAGATACGTAAGTGATGTTGGGGGGCGGGTGACACTCTGGTTTTTGGGCAAAACTCTATGGATTTTACCATAGAGTTTTGCCCAAAACCAGAGCATCACCTTCCACGTCACTGGTGTGCCCACATCACTTCAGGGTGACGTTTGCACACCATGCGATGTCCCCGCCCACTCCCCACCCAACACCCCCTCCCAGTCCTGCTGCTGACACAGTGATCAGACCTGGCAACCCTACTATTACTTGGGAATCCTTAAGTGGGTCTCCCACAATGCTTTTAAGGTATGGGAGAGGGAAGCTGTAATATGAACCAGTGTCTCTCTGTTGGGATGAGGAGGGGTTAACTCTTCCTTCACCCCTACCATTTCCCCAACAGAAACCCAGTACAATTAGACTCAAAGGGGGAAAAGAAAGATGGGCAGCCTTGTTGTAGCTGTCTCTCCCCCCCCCCCCAAACTTACAGGAGCTTGATGGACTACTTTTATCAAGGACTCGGTGTAAGAGGAAACACAACTTTTCCAGAACAAAAGTAGCAAAACATGAGACGCTGGATGGAAATAATGCAACAAATGTAATTTAAATGAAATTAATTTTAAAGAAATCTGACTTGCTTACCATAGATTCACTGATCAGCAGCAGCAAAAGAGCTTCTTCAGTATTCTCTTGAGGACAGAAAATGCTGTTAAAAATTGAGTATTTATTACCTTAAAAAATAAAGTATCTCAAGATTTTTTAAAACATACCATATTTAACTACTCTGCCGCGTTCAGCACTAATAACAATTTACAAGCACACAGTGTATTGGTAGGTATATAATAACATCTGTACCTATTTTGATTCTTGCAACAGCAAATCAAATTACAATAGGGTTGCCATTCCCTAGGCTGTGCTAGGGAAACCCCCAATTTTTTGTGAAGCCCCACCCCAAACAGGGATGTCGCACGGAACGATGATGTCACCAAGAAGTGATGCCCCGTTCTGGGGATGCTCTGATATTTGGTCAAACTCCATGGTTTTAGGCTGAAAAAACCATAGAGCTTGCCCAAGTACCAGAGTGTCCCTCACGCAACATCATTGTGCTGAGGACGTCGTGTGCCGTCCGCACCTACCCCCCAGAACACCCCCAAAGTCCCCCAATGCAGCCAGGGCAAGAATTGGCAACCCTAAATCACAGCCATAAAGGTTATTTTGAAAAGATGGTTGCAAGTGTTGCCCACAGTAACACAGCCGTAATCAGGAACAGGCAACTCAGTAGGCTGCTTTGACAGCTATAACAATGACCCAGTGAGCACAAACACAAAAGCTACTGTGTCCCCATGTTGTTGCACTGATAGCAACCACAGGACACATTCAATGGCCTGAAGAGTTTCCTGGATTTTCATGAGACCTCTCACATTTGGATCACAATAGGCATTACAGCCACCGCCCGTACTCTAAACAGATTCCATTTGATTTCATGTTGCATCTCTCTGCATTTTTTTCTTTTCAAAAATGAGTGAAATGTCAGTCTGAGTGCCTTCAGCATTACTGTGGATGTGGAAAGTAGGCTGGAACAAATGGACTGCTCCTATGTAAGATATGGTTTTTCATCCTTTCTACATTACTGACAGGCCTGTAGCTGGAGGAGATTTGGGGACAACTCCTCCCAGAAATGTGTCATGCTCCACTTTGGAATCCCCAGCTTTCATTTCCAAATAAAGTAAGTCTACAGCCCTTTTGGTGGCAAACGTAAAAGGGAAAAGGAGAAAGCAGGTTTCCCCCTCCATTGCCTGGGAAGGAATGGGGGGGGGGAAGCTGTAAACCAGCTGGAGCCAAATAAATTAACTCCTTTCTGACTGCATTCAGCCTCTTCAGCTCTCTTCCCTTTCTTCCTGAGCCCTTTACCTTCCCCCCCTTTTTGCTTTTTTGTTTCTCTCCTCCACAATGTAAACAACGATGTGAGAATATTGGGCAGTAAACTGGAGTACAATTTATACAACCTGGGAGCTGCCTCCGTTTGCAGTGGGAAATTTGTCTTGGGAGTAGGTAGGGTCATGGAAAGCAGGAACAGAAAAAACAACAGTCCAGTTTCACTCAGCCCAGTATCTGGGTTTCATCGTTTATTGCAAACCACCCTGCTGTAACTTGCCTGAGTAAAAGGAGGCACACCTTTGAGTATACACAGAATGCCTTTTACCCACTAATGAATACCCATTCTCAGCCTCCTCACTCCCCCCCTCCAGTCTGTCAAACTAAAGAGGAATCATGCTCCAACAGGCTTAAACTCTGGAACCTTGCACAATGGAAATTTTGGACAGACGGCCAAAGGGCTCAGGGAGTATAATATCTGGGCTGCCATAAGCCCCACCACCCTCAGTAGAAAAAAGTAAGGTCTTTAGGAGGATCTAAATAAAATTGTCCCAAGAATAATGAGTTATCTGAATGCAGAGACTGCATACCCTTTGAAAACATGCAAAGTACTTTTCCCTCCCTACAAGCCGTAGGGTTGCCATGTGCCTGTCTGGAGCACACAGGCTGGCAGGCCAAAGGAAAAGACTGCCATTGGAGAGATAGTACATCGGGGAAAACCGAGAAGTGACACATCTTTAAAAATTGCCAGAAATGCTGTGGTAAAACCAACGTGGTTTTGGCGATACCTAGAGAGGAGTAATAGAGGGAGGAGTGATGTGTGATGCCCAAGTTAATTTTCATATTACTTTTTAGTCTGGTAAATGGTCCATCTGTTCAAAGCCACATGATTATGGTTACACACGGATACCATGTGGCATATACCCTGTAGTATATAGAACTACCACTTAGACATGTAAAATTACCAGAAACTTTGAAATCAAGGGTGGCGGATTTCACTCATTTTCCCTCCCTGAAAAAAAGCCTGGAAATTTCTGGGAAATACTGAAATACATGCCATACTTTCCTATCAAACCTAAACTTCTTTTACTGACTGAACATAAATAGCATCATTTATAAATTAGCATACAAAATTGTACTATTTGTCATACATGGAATTTAAAAGCATAAATATCTTCATTTTCTATAAGAAAAACTAATAATTGAGAAGAGTTGCGAACTGCTATACCCTAGACTGCACACAGCGCTCGCCTATGCTACTATAGCGCATTTATCTTAATTTTTCCCATCTGAGAGGTAGGAAAAAATAAAAGTTGAAGATAGAAAGCAAATTATATAGTAAAAAAAGTTTATTATGTAGACAGAAACACTCTCATATCATACTTGGATTACCATCATATTTGGATATTAATTTAAAGTTTATAAATCTGAAAACACTGAACTCTCTAATAATATATCATTAAACACATTATGGAATATTAACTGCTGCCAACAACATTTTTTACATTTAAACAAATTAATGAAAATGAGGTATAGGTCTACATTATATATAGAATTATCATTAATGAAATACAAAATAATTACTAATGGTGTAAATTGCCTTACACACAAAAAAAAGCATATTATACATTTTGAGTGCAGCCTTGTCTTTCATTTCCCCCACCCCCACCTCAATTTTCCATTTTGTGTGTGAAAAATTTTGCCTTAACCAGCAACGAGTCTCAGGGTTTGAGGTGGACTTGGCAACTCCAACCCCCCACCCCCGCAATGTACTGATACCTCCTCTCCATAAGATTTCTGGCTTTGGGCTTGAGTACTCTGTGGTAAGAGGAAGTACACCCATAAAACCAGTTTCTTTAATGTACTGGTTGAGAAGCAGAGTGATTCTTCATGCTTCTTCCAAAAATATGAATAGAGATCAAGGGATGCATTTATTGAAGACCCCTCATAAGTATATGATATAGAAAGCAGAACTAATGCAAGAAATTTCACAAACATCAGAACAGTTTATTTCTTGAGAATTTAGTTTTTGCTGTTTCCTTTAAGGAAACACTTCAATATTCTATCCTATGTATAATTCATTATATCAAAAAAAATCTGGTACAATACCATGCCCACAGTATTAAATGAAAACAAATGAAAACAAATTCAGTGAGCTGCAGGTGCACTTAAACGTACAAAAAGAAAATCTCATAGCCCAAAGGCAGGGGAGATGTTTAAAGCCATCTCTCCCTACAAGCCTGTGTGTTTCGAAATTTCCACACAGCTCAAAATGACTTAAATTATTAAAGCTATGAGAGCAGACTAATGTAAAATTAATTTCTGTAATGATTTTTCTGTTTATTCTCATGCAATATTTTAATACACACTTCAATGTTTTCTTCACTGCTAATGAGAAAGTGGGACCAATATCACCATTTTCACTGTTCTCCTACTATTATTAAACAATGTTAAGTGAACTAGAGTTACAACCTAGCTTCTTTTTATTTTTGACATGTTTCTATAACTGTTGAAAACGTAATTGTTTTATCCCATGCAGCCCAACAATTTTGAGACTCTTCTAGTTAAAGTTGTGAGATGGCATGGTATTAGCAGTGTACAAAATTCTCATTAACACTGTGTTAAAGTGGTAACATGGGGCCGCAGTGGCTCAGAGGTTAAGACGCTGAGCTGAAGACCGGAAGGTCGGTAGCATGGCAGTTTGAGACCCTAATGCCACATGACGGAATGCGCTCCCATCTCTGACCCCAGCTCCTGCCAATTGCAAGTAGATGAATAGGTACCACTTTGGTGGGAAGGTTAACAGCGTTCTGTGCACCTTGGCCATGCTGGCCACATGACCACGGAAAAGTCTTCGGGCAACGCTGGCTCTTCAACTTTGAAACGGAGATGAGCACCACAACCCTAGAGTTGGATCTGACTGGCTTTCGAGCAAGGGAACCTTTATGTTCCTTCTGATCATTGTTAGAAACTCTCAAGAAGGAATGGGACTTCATAGGCATGTAAGACCACAGTCATTCAAGGACTTTCTTGGTTGAAGCCAATACAGTGCAGCCCACTTAAAGCATCCCTGTACAACTCACGCATACTATCCATATGGA